AAAGAAATACTTGCTTTAAATAAAACATAGTGTTTTTCTTGACTTCACTAAACAAATACTATTTTTAACCAAAAAAAAGAAGTCTTTCTTTACTTTGTTAAACATATTTGTTTGTTTGTTTGTTAAAATACTTTTTTTTTTATATAAAAAATATATAATAAAGACAGTCTTTCAAAGTCAAAATCAAAGTTCTTTTACTCGTTCCCTCCTACCTGCATCTCTTAGTCATCAGAGATTGAATTTAGGACAACTGAGAGCTGCGAGAAGAGCATCTTTGTCGTCCAGCACACCAACAAAACGAGTCTGGATTGCCTGAAAAATATAATTGATGTGTTTGATATGTCTACAAGGCCTATTAATTACAGTATTATGTCATTGAATTACTTGCAAACCATGCCTAATGTGGGATCAATACTATGGATTTAATTTTGTTTAAGGATTATTATTGACATTTGTATTAGTTTTAATCTTTTTTTGTGATGATAATGAATATACTGTACAATGTACAAAAATAGTGTGATGTAAGAAATTTGAACAAGCTTACAGATATAACATACCTTCACTATAGCATCTGGAAGGCCTGCAGTCATCATGGAGAGTGAATGTTGCTCAGCCAGGGTCTTCTGCATCAGAACTTTAAGTGTGGGAAGTAAAGTCCCATAAGGACAGTCACCTTGTTACTCCCATATAGCTTCTGTTAATGGTATTAGCAGTCCAAATATTTGCGGTAGTTGACACAAAGTTGACATCATTCAGTGCAGCCTTCAGATTTCTCTCCACCTCTGCATACTCCTCCAGATATTCAGAAAAAGCTCCTCTGTGAGGCAGCTCTGCATTTACAGTGGTGGGTATTAGCACGAAACGAAGGCTAATCAACCGTGTTCAAGGGTAGCATTTCTTCTACTACAAACCATTCGACCAACTTTTTAAACTCTCCTCCACTTACTAGTTTTGCACCAAAGTCAAGCTTTTGTTGTTTGGGTGGGGAACCTCCTGTTGCAGCTCTCTGCTTCAAACCACCTGACGGTGCTTGCTCCATCAGTTTGACTGTCCATGCTGCGACTCCAAATATTTCTTCAGATGTAATGTGGTGTTTTTGAAGCTAGACAGCACTTTCTCTCCAGCACAGAGGGTACAACGAACCTTGATATTGTCATCCTTCACTAACAGAAACTCAAAATTGTTCCTGTATTTTTCATTCATTCATTCATCCAACCTTTATTTAGACAGACAAGTCACATTGAGCCTAAAAGACTCATTTACAAGTGAGATTTGTTTAGACCGACAAAAAGTAGTGAAACTGGACACATGTAGGAATTGGAGATGAAAAAAATTCCTATCAGACATTTTCTTCTTGGCTGAGAAGAAAAACTGTAATATTAAAAAACACCTCGCACAAACAAGCACATAGTGACATAGACATTCCGCAGAGGAGGGAGATGATGAGAGCGGTGAGCAATGATTCATGGACACTCTTGAGGGCACTGTAAGAGTTCTGATAAGGATGGAATAATCAACCAGTTTCCTCCAGTGAGATTCGTAAACATTCTCGAGGGATGTCAGGGAAGGGCCAAGGATAATGCCTATGAGATTCCAAGAGTCCTGAAATGATGACGCAATGTTTATTCAGCTGGTTTCCTCTGGTTATCAGTTGGAAATTCCTCAGGGAGGGAGTGGTGAGTGTCAGTTCACATGTTCTCCAGGCGAATTCAGATAAGGTGGCCTTCAAGGCCAGCCAAGGGAGCCAAATTCAGATAAACACACACTTGTTTTAGGGACAGGCAGAACTTAATGACATCTACCTTGAGACTGTGTTGGTCCAAACGGTTCCGAAATGTCCAAATTGCATGGCCACACCGATGGAACGTGCCCGAGTAAAATCCCCGAGATCTTATCCATTCTGCCAAAAATATTTAAGTCTGGGTACTCGAGGCACAAACCAAACCATCATAAAG